ACAATTACTCGTGTGTTTGTCCATGGACTTGGCTTCTCGTGTGAGGGCCAAAACCCGAAACCGTATCCCTATAAACACCCTATCCCACACGAACACCACACAAACTACACCGAGAATACCTCCAGTTCCACAAGATGTTAGCGTAATTTGAAAACTAGCCTTGAATTAGACTCGAATAAGGCAAACTAGTGTGTAAACGCCGCAAAGTATGCAATATTATACATATATACACCCATATACATAAATATATATATATTATATATATACAAGATGTCAAGCAACTTATACATATACAAGCGAGTGTAGTACGATACGATATGGCATATGATATGATATCTGGATTATAAAGTATTTTAATAAACTTTTAATAAATATTTTAGTAAATCCAATAAACAATAAAGCCGATCCTCCAGCAAATCAACCGCTGCAGCAGATAAGGGAAAATTACCTCGGAGAAAAGCGGGCTGACTGTGTTTTCTTTGGAAAAGTTCGAATGGAATGGGCAACAACTTTCCCGTCGACTTATGTGCATACATTGGCCCTCGAGCATATTTGTATTGACAGGCCGGCCTGGGAATTGATTAATCTCCATTCAGCATTGTGTGCTTGCCAGTCGCCCCACTGACTGGCAATTTATTAAAATCTTTTGATTGGAATAAATGATGCTGCCAGCTAATCAAGTTGCCCAAACTTGCGCCGTCTCTGGAATTGAATTCCTTATTGTCTTGTCTCCTCGAGTCAAAACACTTGAGTATGCCGAGCACATCTAAACACACGGATAACTTTCTGTCTCTTATCTCGAGATTTCCTCCTTACTTTCTGGCCAAATTTAAATCTTTCGCTTCGTTTGCCCGTAATAAATGATGAATTTTCGTCACACACGAGCGCTGTGCCGAAATTAAATTCAGCGAAAACCTTCTGGCGGAAAGCTTTCCGTCTATTTTGGAAATTCGGCTGGCGACAATTGCATTACGTATACGCCACATTGTCTCCCTGGACGAGATGGCTGCATGAGTTATTCAAGTTTATTGCCTATTGATTTCGGGCCCCAGTTTTCAATTTCAATTTCGACATCACCTCGTTATGGAGGGCCTGGGAAATAAGTGGCCAATCCTTTCGAGCGTTTTCCCAGGAGCTTTCCTTTGCGTTGCGTTGCGTTACGCAATAAGAGTCGAGTTCTGGAAAATGTTACAGTAGTCCTGAGTACTTTTGCTGCCTACTTTTCGCTTTCATTGTGCGGTGACAGCAGATTTTTCTGCAGAAACTTCGCAGCAACACGCGGCCAAAGTGAAAGCAAAGTTTCGCTTTAATTGCTTTTGTTTTTCTATTGGACTTTCGTGTGCCGCGTGGGCGTGGCACGTACGCAACGAGGCGTCGATGAAATGCGATGCCATAAAAAAGGAGAATCCAATTAGGCGGCTTTAAAGGCTCCGAGTCCTGCAAAGCCAACTCAGCAGAACACTGGGGAAATCCGCCCAAAGTCGGCCCAAAGCTGCTCTCTAAGACATCAAAGTGATGGAGCGGCGGAGGAATCGCAATTATCGTAATGCCCTGGCATTTCCGGAAGCCTTTGCCAACGCAATGCCAGTGACTGCCGTCTTTATCTAATAGTTTTCGCCTCTTCCGTGGGCAGCAATTGACTTTAATAATTTATTAGAGCATATTAGACCAATGGCCGAGTTCTGGCAGTCATGCCACACAATATATCAAACAATAGGCCTATTACACGACTCCTACATGCGCCACCGACGATGTCCTGGGGGGCAGTGCGCGTGCCACAGGAGTTTCTCATCATTTCGTTACGCATACGCCCCCTCGCCCGTTATTGGGTGTTCCCCCATCGCCCTCGATGATGTGCCCTCGGGAGCGGTTCCTGGCTGGCACAGATGTTGTGGCTCCGACTTTCACTTTCTTTGTCCCCTGCATTGTTTACCCATCGCTCAACTTCAGTGCCTTCGCTTTCAGTTCGGAATTGCTGCAATTAGCACTCGATGCAATCGATGAAAGCTTGGCAAACAGAGGTTCAATGGACTGCACGTGAACCCTTGTCGACTGGACATCCTCACACCCGTCCGGGTAATTTTTGGCAGCTTTATCTTCGTCACGGCCGTCGTCAAAGTCTGCACAGCGAGAAAATGCAATTATCTTTAAATAGGAACCCATTTCGGCCTCATTTCTGGTGGCATGCTACACGCATGGCTTGCACTTTGGTTCAAACTTTACATCAGCATTTATTATGTGCTTCAGAATGCGATGCTAATATGTTACTTTCTCTGTGCAGCTTGGCAGCGGTCGAAATTGATATATTCCCCACTTCCTGTCAGTCAGACTGGCGGGAATGGAAATGGGCACGGACTGGTGGCTCTGAAAGCGAAAGTGGGGGCGTTCTTTGTGTCAATCCGAAATCCAGAGTATAATAATGTCCCGCCGCTGGATTCTGTTTCAACGCGAGCAGCAGGACCCATTCCCAGCCATCATTAAAATATGATTTATTGCGGGTTCCCCAGCCCGGAGTGGGGTGGACTTGGCGGCCTGGCTTTTCCTGCTGTTGGCCGCTTTCCCGTGGCTTTTCCACAGGGACTACTAGGGCCGCAGCTTGTTTAAACGAGTGACTTTGAGCATCTTCGTGGCTGCGACTTAGCTCTGTTTTTCCGCTCGATTTTCGCTTTACTGTCTCATCGAGTTAATAGGTCGACATTTGCATAGGAATGGCCACGAAACACACAGTCGAAAGTTGCGTTCTCCAGGGACTCAGTTGATGCGGGAATTGGGGAGTAACTTAGCTGCAAATCGGTTAATTAAATTAATTTAAGCTCAGATTGTGGTACTTAGAATATGATTGTAATTTCAATTGTAAGCTGTAAGTTATGAATACCAATAAGTAAGGATTAAGTAAGGCAATTATGAAAATCGATCCATTTACAAAGCAAATGTGTACTAATGAATCCTTGTGTACTTAAAGAAAAGTGGAGTGCTTCCTGTACAGAAATATTGACTTTGTGCTCTAATATTTAACACTGTTATCTCAAAACTGTGCTAATTTGTACTTCTTCTATTTCTCCGTTTCTGCCCCCCAAAAAAACAGGAAGACGAATCCGAAGCAATGATAATCGACGAGGACAACTCCTTGGAGCAGCCAAATCCACTGGGGAAATATGGTATGCCCCTGCGCTGCCACACCTCCACGTTGGCGGTGCTGCGGGATTACCACCACAACCCGCTGATCAGTGGCACCAACTTCCAGCTGTCTCCAGTCTTCGGAGGCTCCGAGTGTGGTGAAGGTGACGGCGAGACCGGGTCAGTGGTTTCCCTTGATGACTCGGTGCCACCTGGCCTGACAGCCTGCGACACGGATGCCTCCAGCGACAGTGGCATCGATGAGATCAGCCTGGTGGATGGGGCATCGGGCTCACCGCGTAAGAGGATGCTCCTGAGCGCCACAGGCACTGATCAGGTTGAGTCTGCACCACCGCCCTCGGATGTGGCCATTCCAGTGACCCAGAAGTCGGTAGAAGAGGAGCTCGAAGGATGCGGAACCGGCAGTAACGCCACCAGCAGGAAGACATCCATCTCCTTCCTGGACAGCAGCAATCCCCTGCTGCACACGCCGGCGATGATGGACCTGGTCAACGACGACTACATCATGGGCGAGGGTGGCTTCGAGTTCAGCGAGAACCAGTTGGAGCAGGTCCTGGGTTGGCCAGAAATCGCCTAGATTCAGTACCTTAGCATGCACTGCATTTGATATGAGGCATTTTTGGCGGAGGAGGAGGAGTAGTAGGAGGATAGAAAACATTGAAATTAAACTGAGCATCGAGAAGGAAGCTAACCAAAAGATTGATTTTGAGCCTTGCGTGAAAGTAGGACCCCGCACAACCAACTTGACAACCTGACAGGACCCATCCCCACCAACCACCAACCCAGACGATGATCGAACACTTGAACCCTGACCCCGACACCGACACCGACACCGACCCCATGCTAACCGACACATTTACAAACAGGAAGGGTTAATCACTTGAATAGTTTTGTAGCCATGTTAACTGCCTAGAACAGAAGAATATACACGTATGTAATTTAGTCTTAATGTTTTTCTATATGCAAACCGTTTACACAACAGATGGATGAGGAGCTAAATGGCAGAGGAGATGGAAAATGAGTCGAAAAATAATTATAAACCTATAGTTTACAAAGAGAAAATACCGTTGAAAAATGTTCATAGTTTTTTGCTGGAAGGCTCAAACAAGTTTTTTGGTGATGGTTGTATTCTGTTTTATAACTTTCAAGCAAAAATGCTGTGACAACAAAAAAAGTTTTTGAACATGTTTTACAATAAATATTAAAAAACTAAAAAAAAAAACTAAAAAAAAAATTTATATAGTTATGTAATATTTAGTTTAAGATTTTAATTTCAATGTTTTCAAGTGCTACAATGAATGCTTGTAGCTATTATAATATTTTTAACATTAATTAATTGAAATAAGCGAAAATTGTACCCGATTCAGTTGATCTTAACTTCAGGCTATACTTTGAGCATTTCTATAAAATTACTTTGTGTCAATCATTTTCAATCACTTGTGGATTTCCTATTTCCGATTACCAATTCTTTATGTAAATTAGTTATAATTCTGTGTAAGGCGCATCATACAAAACAAACTGTTTGCTTGCTTAAATCCAAATTCAATCAATGTTCAGTGTTTCCAAACTTGTTTTAATATTAATTGGCAAAATAAATCTAGAAATCATTTCGATGAAAGTTGCATGCATAAATTTGCGATCTCTTCTTGAACTTGGGAGGAACTGGGTTATTTTTTTCCAGAATTTAAAGTAGTAAATACGAATTTACAATCAAATTCGCCATCGGACTTCAATTCGCCCCAACATTTAGCAAAGACACGAATCACTGCAGTGTATAGACTCTGTAGAATGTATAATTTGGTCTACAGTGGAAATAATAGTACAAACATTAAAATTTATTAAACGTAATAAGGAATAAATACAGTTACTTGGTACAATGAACAAAATAATGTGCTATTTGAACTGCACATTGTTATGCAACAACTCCATGATTTGCTCCTCAGGAGCCACCCACTTGCATTCCGGATATTTGATGGCGCAGTGGTGGGGCAAGTTCGCCTTTCCTGCTTCGATGGCGTCTCGAAAAGCAGACTGATCCAACCAGGCCAGCAGCCAGGACCACTTGGTGGCGCCATCCAGCAGATGCTCGAAGTCCGAAGCCTGACCCTTGATAACCCTTTCCCCTGCCTTGTGGGTCAAAGTACAAATGGATTTCAGCAGACAGGTGGTCAGATCCACGTCGTTCTTGAGAAAGGTCCGCTCAATCATGCCCAGAATGTTGGGAATAGTGGTGGCTATTTAAAAATATTATAATTAGGATCAATACGGCATCTAAGCTCAATGCTATCCTTGGAACTTACCCACTCGATCGCCAGTTTCATTGCGGTAAATCAGCTTGAAGTTGTCAAGGATTCCGGGAAAACTTAGGTTATCATCGAGAAGTGCCCTTGCCGTGGCATTTGCAGAAGTAGGTGCTGGTGTGGATGACGATGTAGATCCCTCTTCCTCCGCAGACTTTGGCTTATGTGTGGAAGAGTTCCCGAGAACAGAACGTTGATCATCTCCTGTGATGGCCTCCAGTCCCAAGCTCCGGATGAGGTGACCCGCAAGGAGTCCACCGGCCACCACGAGGCCACAGCTCACCACAGCAGCGGAGTTCACTACAACTAAAGGCTGCGAAGAGAAATGATACTCAATGAATAATCCGAGCGAAATCCAAGGCAGCGTGAGCTAAAATCCATTACCTTAGGTGGAGCATTCCGCTTCCGCTTGACAGGCACCTCCAGAAAGGGCACTAGGTAGTCCAGACCCAAGGCTATGTGTTTGCCCACTGCATCGAAGGATATCAGCTTGAATCCCTGTCCAGGATGTGACCTTGATCCGTGCTGCTTGGCAAGCTCCTCCGACCCTTCCTCCTGCTCCGATTCCTCCTCACCACTGGCGGCCCAAATGACGGCGCAGCTGGCCAGGATGGCACATGTCAGATACAATAGCTTCATTTTTCCGCTGGGAGATCCGTTCGGCTGCGTAGTCGATGAGCATTTGAATCAATTTCCCAGGCGGTGTCACCAAAAGACTTCTCATCCACCACAGCCGATTTGCTTGGCTGGAGTAAACGTGCACTGAGAAAAAGTATACCCTTCAAGTGCAATAAATACACAAATTCATCAAGAGATTTTCACTACAAGTGAGACATATGAAGGTAGAAAGTGCTGATGCTGAAAAATATACATTAATGTGTTCATTGCTTAGTAGCCACCTAATCATATTAGTCAAAGCAAGTGGCATAGAATGTTGCTCAGTGTACTTACCGCTTGGCTGGCTGTTGGCTGCTATAATTTTCGACTGTGACTCCAGTTTCCACCCATGACTTGGAACCAAAATGCATCAAAGTGGCGAGTGTGACATAACAGATCTACGGAGGTGCGAAAACGATTAGCTGGAGGAAATGCCGGGCAGATGAAAGCGGAAGATAGCATAGCTACCTTCTCTAATTGGGGGAAGTGGCAGAAATTAATCCAATTTTCCGGCATTTCCATTACATAACAAAACAATCGCGTGGGCTGAAACAGGTGTCATATTTTTGATGGTTTTCTTTATTTCAAATGCTCAGCTTACAGTAACTTATGAATATGTTTGCATCAATAAATAAATAATTAAATATAAGTGTTTGCGCAGTATCCGATGTTACTATCCATTAAAGAACTTGGGAACCTTTGGTAAACTGCCAGACTTCCAGCTTAGCTGACTTGGCCATTTGCAACTCCGATAAGTGTGGGTACAACTGCGACTGCTTCTGGCCGACTGGATGGCATGGAACACAGCAGTGCCATCGACGACGGAATGCAGCCAGGAGGAGCTGACGAGGGATAAGTGGATTAAAAGTTGGGTAAACTCGAGATATTAAGCCCTGGGTTACCTGGTCAATACGTTTAGAGCCCTGGCATATCCGGAGGAAAGGTTTTGCTGCAGATACTGGCAGATCATTCGCTGCACACACACGGACATGTCGATGTTGTGCTCCTCCAGTTGGGACTCTACCACATCAGTCAGCCGGCGCACTAATCGAGAAAAGACATGTATAGTTGGACCCACCAAGGGGCTTATGCTGCATGCACTTACTGCCTCTGTCTGGAGCGGATTTGTAGCCATATCCATTGCCCACCGAGGTGATCACCAGTGGGGCTATAAGTAATCGCACCACACCAGCTATAACTGCGCCAGCGGCCACCACAACTGCTGTGTTAACCAAGGCTCCAGTTCGCAGATTCAGCAGGTTTTGCACAGCATTCCGAGCCAGGTTCATGCTCCTCTTCACGGGAACTTTGACGAAGGGTACGATGAACTCCATTTCCACGCTCACATCCTCGCCGCTGGCATGGAAATGGAAGCCACGACCCTCGCGATCCTGTCCAGCGTGCTGCTCTGCCTCCAGGTCAAGATCCACGTTCGTTCCTACGCTTTGCTGGCGAGGCTCAAAGTCACGGAATCTAAGCATTCTGGCACTGGCATTGCCGTAAAAATCCCCGTGGCTCAGATCACTCCCACCAGCACTTTCTCCGAAGTAACCGAGTTGCGGAAACAGGGCCATCATACCCAGCGCATGTAAGATCCGCACCAACCACATGCTGTCGCTCCAGCGGCTGGAATTCGTCTGATTGTCACCCCAAGACTCGGAAGTCGCTTTGTAAGCCCCATGGAGCCGCAGAATTACATGCCCCACGCACCGGCAATCAAGATATGATATTCATTTAGTTGGAAAGCCATAGCGTAAGACGGAGGCGCAACTTCAACGCTTCGTGGGCCCAAAGTGGCGAATCTGGCGAATTTGGCGAATCTGGCGAATTCGCGATGCCAAATGGCCAACGATCGATGGAATAACGATAACCGACCGATTCGCCGAGGATAAGGAAAGAAAGCAGTGACTCCACAAGTTGGAGTTCAGCAGCAGTTGGAGGTGCAACAGTCCACGACGAAAGCGGCACTTGGAAAAATGGATTTACAACACCATGTACGTGTATGCACATAAGCGGGCAGCATATTTCTCCCAGTGCACCGGCAATCTCAGATAAACGCTCCTTATTAGAAAGACATTTGTGGCCGACTACGGCCCGGAAAATTTGCATATTCCGCGAGGTGAACTCACTGATGTCACTTGCAGAGCGACAAAGGTTAGGTAGAGATCAAGATTGAGCAATAACCCATTTGTGCCCCATTTCGTGGCAAGTCTTAGATGGTAAATGCGTTAACGTGTTAAGGTTAGATACACAAACTAGCATTGGAGTAATGGCCCGAGCGGCTTAAAACAACACATAAATGAAGTAATCATAGGGAAGATGCGATCTCCGGCTTGAATTCAGGCGGGCTAAGGTTAGATAAACACACTTAAAGCAATTATAGCAGATTTGATTGGTGGTTTCATTTTTCACGTGTGTAACCTGTTATTAACTTATTATTATTATTTGCTATTTGATGGTAAAGTTGCAACCATCCTTAAGAAAAAACGTAATTGCGATTTTGTATTTATTAAAACTTATAATTTAACGCGGTGGACTTTAATCGGAACACGGTCAGGCTAAAATGGTATGTGGCTACGGGGGTGGGGATGTGGATGCATGGGCGACCCGGACTAAGGAGATCAGTAGATAGAACTGTCGGAGGAGTGGGGTCCGAGGGTGGGATCGAATCGGACCATCTTCCTCGTTCGTCGCTTGACTCTTTGCCGCTGCCGCTCATTGGCCATTTCCCGGGACCAAGGCTCCTGGCGCTGAGGAGCGGTGGGTGGATAGGCGGCCTGGTCCAGGAGGCGCATGTGGTTGCCAGTCAGTGGCAGTTCCGAGTCGGTGCTGTAGTTCGGAGGACTACGAATGGGCCCGATCATGCGTAACTTGTTTTGGGTGGCGGCATTGTTGACGCGGCTGTAGACACTGGAATCCTGGGGATCCGGTGCCGAGAAACCTCCAGCCACACGGCCTGGTACTGGCTTCTTCTTCTTGGGCTTCTTCGGGATGTTCCTCATCAGGGGCGGCTTGGGCTCCTCCTGGATAACGCCCTTTCCATAGATCCAATTAAAAGGCTTCTCCCGCTCACCCATCACGCAGCTCTGGTACTGGACCGTGGCATCGGGCATATGGGGATACAGGCTGGGATTGACCCAGTCGCTCTCGTTGTACTGCGTCTCGCAGTGCTTCACATGGGAGGTCTTCATCCGCTCCGGACGCATCAAGCCCGCCGGCGGCGTGACCCCGAAGTCGAACTCGTCCTCGCTGTCGGATGTGTCCGTTAGCACGAGGTCATCCTCGCAGGAGTCTATCTTCCGGCGCTCGCACTCCCTGCGCACGTGGTAGAGCAGCCTCTTTTTGTCCACGAAACTGCGGCAGTAGCAGTTCATCAGGGGCTTGTGGCAGGAGCACTTGCTGAATCCCATTCCCTTGAGGCAGCGCTTCAGATCGCGAATCTCCTTCAAGAGCGGATTCTTGACGATCCGGAACTGAACGGGCTTCATTTTCACGTAGGGATTGGCGGAGCGCGCGAGCGTCTTGGCATCCTTGAGAGGACGCAGGGTAATGGTGTACACATCGTTCTTCTTCTCTATGTGCAAAGTGGGAACCTGCACCAAATCCTCCGGACTCTCGCCCTGCGGAGGCCTCGGCGACTTCTTATGCTTGTAGTAGGACATGTACTTGGACACGGGCACATTGTCCACGGGAAAGTCCTTAAGGAAGTAGCTCATTAGGCCGCGAATGGAGCGCCGTATGGCGCCGGGTCGCCAACCGGGCTTGTTGGCCAGTGGATGAGCGGTCCACAACCAACCCATGTGGCTGGGAACCTTCTTCTCCGCGTCCGGGGTAGGCATAGTTTCCTTGGGTTTCACCGCCGGGCGATACATTGAGTAGTACCTGGACTTGAAGGGACGCTTCCTCTTCGGGCGACGCTTCTTCGCCTTTGGCGCTTTTCCGCAGGCATCCTCCACGGAGTCCTCCTTTCCAGCCTGCGGCCTTTCCGGAGATGCAGCACGACTCTTGCGCTTTTTGTGCGACCTCGCCAAAACGCAGGCCTCCGTGCAGATGTCCTGGATCTTCTGGCTCTCATCCGCGGCTTTAACATTGAACAGATCTCTCAGCTCCGCAAAAACCTTGGCCAAGTCCTGCGGCTGGGGCGGACCTGCTTGGGCAATGGGATTCTTGGCGTCCGACTGGCTGGTCTTGATATTGGACTCGCGTATGCTGCGCCGCAGTAGCTGGTAGTCCTTCACTATCGCTTCAAAGGCTTCCGAGGTGCGTTGGGCATCAGCGTGTTCCTCATTCGCCGGACAGCCCTCGACCGATCCCATATCGAAGCTGATGCTCTCCACGGGGTTTTCCAGATGGTCCAGCAGAATCTGTTGGGCAGTGGCCTGCTCGTCGTAGGGTCGCTCCTTGAACTCCGGCACTGGCTTATAGCCACAGCAGGGACAGGCGGCCACCTTGGGCAGCCAGGAGACATCCTCGCCGCAAAGGACGCAGGAGCGGGTGTTGCTGATGTGCATTTGGCGCAGTTTTGGCGAGGAATGCTTCTGGCACAGCCGGTTGGCGTTTCCCTCGCCTAGAATGTTCTGTTGGCAGGAGGAGAACTGAGTGGCAGGAGCCGCCGGAGGCTCGAAGGTCACACAAGCGTCGTCCACGTTGGGACAGGAGTACACGGGATAGGGACCAGCCATGTCAACCAGACGCGGGAGGGGATCCTGAGGGAAACCATTTAGAAATAATCAGGCATGATGGTTATCTCGCTTTACCTGACATGGCACGAATTTCTGGTGCTTGTCCTCACTGCAAGGCGGCGAATCCTGCGGCATCTCCGTATCACTGGGCATGAAGCCCGCACAGGGATCAATGGAGGAGGTGGAGCCGTCCTGGAGATCCACATTCAGGTTCGGAAAGCACCCCCGCTCCTGGCCGCCCGCCAATCGTCCATCGACCGCATCTCTATTGAAGTTCAGGTGCTATCGCATTCAGGCTGCTCGAGGATCAGGTCCTGGTGGCGTTACTTACTCTTTGAGCGTCTGGCAGCGCATCTGCATGGCAAAGCGGATGTTCATTATGCCCACGGTGCAGCCCTTGCAGGTCAGCTCCACATTGGCGTCGTGGACGATCTCGTCGAACTCGTTGATCATGCGGCTGACCACCGCCGCGGGTGGAAAGTAGCAGCCGCGTGCTGGAGTGGATTACGTGAGTGATGTGCTTACGTATCGGAGGTGCCTGTGGTCTTACCGATCTCCTTGCGCAGGTAGACCACGGATATGTTGATGCCTTCGGCCAGCTGCCGCTGCAGGCACTCGGCTTCCATCTGGAATGTCTTGTCCGGATTCAGAGGAAGACAGTTGACATTGATGCTGCTGGAACTGAGGCAGATCTTGCATCCACGGCACACATTCGCCTTGACCTGCAGCTTGTCCTGGCACTCGAAATCCCTGCCAGGCATGTCCAGCTTCTGGACAATCAATTTGGCGGCAAAGCAGCGCATGTAGTCCCGGTTGGGCTTGCCCTTCTGGCCAGGAGCCGGGCACCTGGGCTGGTACACCTCTTCCCGGTTCCGGACCGGACAGGAGGAGCAGCAGCAGCCGCCCTTAGCCTTCTTGTCCTTCTCCTGGGCCTTGCCCTTCTCCTGGTACGTGGAGCAGTGCATGTAGTCCGCCTTGCAGCTGGCCAGCCGGGTGCTGACCAATCCGCGGTGCTTGTAGTAGGTGTCCCAGTTCATCAGCTCCTCCACCGGCTTCTCCTTCCGCTCCACCGGCTCCGGCTTGCACTCGAACTTCTCCATCCTGGCCGGTCAGCACTCGCAACCGGGTCGTCCACGAGTCTAAAAATTTCGTTGCACAAATAATTTTAAAAAGCGCACGAGCTTCGTCACGAGAATTCACATAAAAGTAAACAATTTATAGAGAACTGGAGCCTGAAGCGGTCGACCTGAACTTTCAATAGAGAATGAGCTGGGTTCAGGAATCGGCCTGTCAGGCCCAGGCGAAGCTAGACTCCCGGCATCCTGGGTTACCCGGAATTACCCTAGCATAGAATGACATAGCAATAAATCCCGATTTACACAGGTTACACCACTACTGCCCCATGGAAACAACCAATTCAGTTACAGGCAATTCCTGCCAGAGTCGTCGTTTATTCAAAGATTTACAGGCTGCGTGTACTTGTGTTGGCTTAAATCAAGGCATCCGCCTTCAGGTCAGTAAGACCTGTGCCAAGGCCTGTTCAGTGGGGTTGGCTCGAACCGCCGGGGATCGTCGTAGCCACCGACATTGCGGAAGGGAAGCTGTTTGCGTGGTTTCTTCTTGGGCGGATTGCGCAAGCGTGGCTTTGGGGGATCCGCGTGGACATCGCCCTTGCCGTAGATCCATGGGAACATGTTCTTTCGCTCGCCCATCACGCAACCGCCGTATTGCACCAGCATGTTGGCCGGATGCGGGTACATGGTGGGTGCGGCCCAGTCGTGGTCCACGTACTGGGTCTCCACGTGCGCCCTGTCCGGCCGTCGCATCCGATCGGGTTTTATGACTCCGGCCGGAGGAGTAACCCCGAACTCGTACTCCCGATCGCTGTCGTCCTCGTCGCTGTTGGGGGAGTACACGAAGGTGTCCGAGTTGTTTGGCCAACCCCGCTGGCGACACTCGTTCTCCACCTCGTACTGAATCCGCTTCTTCTCGACGTGGCTCCGGCAAAAGCAACTGGCCACCGGACGACGACAGGTGCATGGGGCAAAGCCCTTGTCCTGAAGGTTCACTCTCATCTGGCGGAGTCCTGCTGCCATGGGATCCTTAGTGATGCGGAAGACCACGGGCTTCATATCCGCATAAGGGTTGGCACTGGAGGCCAGGGCCTTGGGATCCTTTAGTGGACGCAAGGTGATGATGTACTCATCTCCCTTCCGACATATGTGCAGCGTGGGATGCTGCACCAGTGGCTCCTCCAGCTCCTGGGCCTTGCGGCCCTTTCTGTGTCTGTAGTGGTAACGCGACAGGCAGATGTTATCCGCAGGAAAGTCCTTCAGAAAGTAGGACATCAGCTGGCGGATGGGTCGAGAGATGGCGCCTGGTCGCCACGACTTGTGGCGCGCCATCTCGCTTTTGGTCCACATCCAGCCCATGTGGCAGGGAATCTTGCAGTAGCCCGTATGCTTGCTGCCCGAGATGCAGTCCACATGGCCGATGCGGGAATCTTTGGGTTCCTTCTTCAGCTTAAGAAAGGTGTAGCTGCAAGGAAATGGTTTATCCAGCGGAACACAATTTCGATTTTATAGCTCACCATCGGGACCTTTTGTGGTGGGTGCGCTTCTTCTTGGCCTGCATTTTGGGTGGCTTGGGATAGGCCCTGTCAATCTCGGCCAGCGTCTTTTGCAGCGCCCTCCTGGCCCGCCTGCGCGCCTTGGACGACTTGCTGTTCCGGCAGGCTGCATCGCACTCCTTCCTGAGTTCCTCGGCCACCGCATCCGCCTGGTCGACTCCCTTCTTCTTGCCGTACATGTTCCGCATCTCCGTGAAGATGGAGACGAGTTGAGAACGACGCAGCGAGGTGTCCGATTTGGTTTGCCCCACGTCTTTCTTTTCCGGCTGGGATTTGGCTGCAGCTGTCGGATAAGCCTGTGGGAGTGGCGCAGCCTTACACTCATTCTCCTTAAAAAAGTTGTCGCAGAGCTTCCGGATGCGACATCGAGTGCAGGGCTTGCCGCCTTGGCATCCACATTGCTTCGGAACATTAGGATCGTCCTTGTCCTGTTCCCTTCTGATCCTGTCGCCCTTGGCCTCCTCATCCGCTGACTGGTCCAGTTCACAGGGCTCCTTGCGCAGGCAGTCCCGCAGCAATTGCTGGGCAGTTGCCGTAAGATCGTAGGGCTGCTCGCTGGACTGGATGTCGTCGAAGGTTTTGTAGCCGCAGTAGGGACAGGCAGAGATCTTGGGCAGCCAGCTGATGTCGGAACGGCAGAGCTGGCAGAGATTTGGTGGCTTGTAGGGCTCCTGTTTCAGAACGGGCTCCTTTACGGGACAAGTGCCGATGAGCCGTCGACGAGCGCCCTGCTCCATGGAGGCAGTCAAGGATAGGGCCTTCCGCTTTCTGGGAGGCTTTTCCGCTTTGAACTCATTGATGTCACAGGAGGAGGTGTCCGTGGTGGAACTAGGCGGCATGCTCTTGCAGTGCCAGCGATGGGACTTTTCGTGCGAGTCTGGCGGACTGGGCACCTTGATCCGATCCAGACCCAGTTCATCGATGAGCTTCTTGAGCGCAGAATTTTCCCTCTTCTTCTCCGTGCTCACATCCGGGGGTAATTGCATGCCCTTCAGGAAACAGCCACACCTGGAGGAGGCACCTCCTTTGTTGTCCTGCCCCTCCTGATTCTGACTTGCGGCGTGTGGGCACTGGAAGGGTGCTCCTGCGTGCGACATCAGGCGCTCGTCCGTGATGCAGCTGTTCGTGGCACACTTTCCGGATCGACCCAGGGTGAAGATGATGTCCTTCTTGTTGATCGACTGATCCACCGGCTTGCACACGTCATAGCAGCCAAAGGGAATCAGGCCGTGGCTAGGGAGGATTGTGATCGAAAGGAATAATAGATTTTTCCGATGCGGTGACCACTACTTACTTTATATCCGGCGGCGCGGAGCTGATCTTCAAGATAAGCTCCACCTCACCCACTCTGTCCTGCTTAGGTCCTTTGGTCAGCTTAACCACAACATTCTGGGTGACCGAAAAGGTGGGATCCGTCAGCTGTCGCAGGACTGGAGAGTCCAACATGGCGTTGCCCGCACCAATAAGCTCGTCGTTCTCCTTGAGGGTCACGCCCACGCCCTTGGAGGTCAGGGCGCCTATCAGCTCACAGGGACTGGTGGTGAAGCCCCCCAATGCATCCGCGGGAAACTGATCCACGAAGATGCGCTCCATGGACAGCTCCTCGAAGTCCTCGAACAAGCGAACCGAGTAGATGGGCCTGCCACCCGCACTGAAACTGGCGGACTTGCGGGGAACTGGCAAAGTGGAGTTCACAAGGATCACGTCAAAGACATAGTACTGCGTCATGTCGGTGCTGTGTGGTAACTTTGGCTAAAATCAGTTGACAATTTTCTTCACTCTCTAAAGATTTGGCTAAAAACTTCTTTAATTTGCTTTTATATAAAAGGCCAGTTTGAATAAAATCGATGTGTGCAGGAACAGATGTCTGAATAAAATGGCAGGAAAGGTCAAACTATAGATTGTCAAATCAGTACAGTGGCAAAGGTCACTTGGGTTCAACAATTCCCAGCGGAAAGATATGGTTTCGTGCGAATTTGTATCTACTCATTCGATTTAGCAACTTAATAAGCAAATTTACTTATCAGCTGCGTAGAGATTACCCTGTTTAGTTCTATAATTGCCAAAATGTGTGCGCAATCTTCAAACATAACAATCTTAGATTAGAACTGAACTCCGACCATAAGTATAAACTGAGCTATCTGCTGATGCATTACTAAAGTGGAGAGCTTTTCTGCCAGATTGGACTCACTGGATTCACTTGCTGAACCTGTGAATACTATGATTGCCTCGATAACTCATGGACTCGTATCCGACTCGTATTTAAAGATTTGCCATTTCGCGTTCCTATCAAATATTGAGTAATAATTGGTGCGGTTTAAGGTCCGCAGAGGTGACACATATATGTACACACAACGTTGGCCAACTCTAAAAATAGCTGAAACATTCGTGCAGAAAATAAGACACCCGTTTGAGTTTGGTATATGAGTAAATGAGTAGCGCATAATTATTGCCTGAATAATTTAAGATTTACACAATGGACTACTATACGTTCAACAACAGGGATGTGCGTAGCATTCTTGCAGGGTAACTATGAATTTGGAACTGCACTTGGTGGTGACAACAACGAGGTGTGTGCGTAATGCATTTGCGCGCCGGAGTCTGGAGTCCTGCCCCCCAGTTCCTCCTCCGCGGGCAGTTCGCTGGCCGATAGCGATCTGATGCTTGAGATCGGAGTGCTTACTGGCGGGCGTTGATGATGTCCACGAACTCGGGCTTCAGGGAGGCGCCTCCGACCAGGAAGCCATCGATGTCGGGCTTCTTGGCCAGCTCCTTGGCGTTGGCGGCGGTCACGGATCCACCGTACTGGATGCGCAGGCTGGCGGAGACCTCCTTGGAGATGTTGTCGCTCAGCCACTGGCGCAGGAAGGCGTGGACCTCTTGGGCCTGCATTGGGAAAGGGGCAGCATTAGTTCTGGAAGGGACTAGCCGCTGGTGGCGAGCTCACCTGATCGGGTGTGGCGGTCTTGCCGGTGCCAATGGCCCAGACGGGCTCGTAGGCCACCACCACGTTCTTCCAGTCCTTGATCTTCTGGGCGTAGGCGCACATCTGGCGGGCCACCACCTCGTTGGTCTTGCCGGCCTCGCGCTCCTCCAGGGTCTCACCAATGCAGGCGATGACCTTGAGGCCCTCGGCCAGGGCGTGCTCGGCCTTCTCGGCGATCAGGGCGTCCGACTCGCCGAAGACGGCGCGACGCTCCGAGTGGCCCAGGATCACCCAGTCGGCGCCGATGTCCTTCAGCATCGCCGGCGAAATCTCGCCGGTGAAGGCGCCCTTGGCCACCTTGTAGGCATTCTGGCCGGCCAGACCCAGCTCGCAGGGCAGCAGGTTGCGGGCGTACATGAGGTAGATGGCCGGGCAGCCAATGACCACCTCCGTGTTGGGGTCCAGGGAGGCCGAGCTGAGGGTCTTGGCGATCTCGGCGATGGACTTCTGGTCGCCGTTCATCTTCCAGTTGCCTCCCACGCAGAATTTTCGGCTCATGGTGTCGCTGTTGCTGTCGGTGCAGTCGGTGCTGAAATTTGCGTAGAACTGCGGATCGGTGGACAAGACAAGGGGATTACTATTGGAGTGCTGGGAACTGATAATTTCAAGTGGGGAACTCGCTGACTGGAGGCTCGCCGTCGACTTTTCCACTCAGATTTTCTC